TAACAAGGTGTACAGCTGGATGAACACAGCAGGCCAAGCAGCAGGAAGACTAACGTTTCGGGTCTACACCCTTCATTTTCTGAAGAAGGGTCTAGACCCGAAACATCAGCTTTCCTGCTCCTCTGATGCTGCTTGGCCTGCTGTGTTCATCCAGCTCCACACCTTGTTACCTCTAATTTCAAGGAAGTGTTTTGTACTTGGAGGTTCATTACTCTAAAATCAAGAAGCTGTGGTGAAGTACCCAGTCCCACATGATGCCATCAATGTTTAAATAATTGAATAATTGTTTAAGCAAATACATGATTTATGTTTAGAAGTAGGTGGACTGAGTTAGCAGCCCTTAGTTTAAACAAGAAGCTTCACTCAATACCAAGTGCTTCATTTCTGATTTTTGTCTGTGTTTCAGGAATATAAATTCATCAGAACAAACATGGTAGAAAGATCAAAACCAGGACCATTTTAGCAAATGCCACCCTTTCAACGTTACTAGTTAATAATGAGTGGCTATCAACTGTAACAACAAGGTCTTTGCAGATAGTTTGCTAACTTTCTATTTTGTCAAGGAGAATATTCACAATGTGCAAGCCACCTGCAAAATTGTCCTTACTTCCAGATTCTTTTGAGAATTTGCAGCAGTTCTCTCTACAGTAGTGAAACAAATATTGAATTCCTGAATGATTGAAGGATACAAGCTGTTGAAGTCAAGCAGCAATATGAATTTATCGTAGAAACCTGAAAAACAATAACAATTGATTTGTATTTGCATCCAACTGTTACAGGAAAAGCATATTTAAAACCAACCATCGTGCATGAGGTAAAGGAATACATTATCCAAAAGAGATTGGAAACATGGTTTTGTTAACAGGAAAGATTTGCTAAACCCACTTTTTAATCTAAGTGCAAGCGATTGGTTTCTCTGTAGAACTAAACTGTCAAGTCATTGGCAAGTTAAACATCTGTAAATTGTGGTTCAATCAGGGAAGCTCAAGATTTAATTTCTCATTTGGGCCAATATAGATAATATCTATGTCACTGACAGTGGAGACATTTCATATGGTCAGGACTAAATTCTTCTCCGTAAAAGTGTAGTTTGGGTGAAAACTCAATGAAGGTAGGTACAAGTTCAGGTGCAGTGGTCGTCTCAGATAAATTAGGCTAACATTACACTTGAAGGGTTACATACAAATAATGGGACGTTTCAACAAGATACCACAATGCTTTTTTGCTTATCAGTCAGCATAACAACATGAAATAGTGCATTCTGGAAGTGAGGAAAAAACTTATAGGGGAATAGAGCACATAGCATAGATTTCATCTTTTCAGCATTCTTAAACTTACCAATTTTGGGTTCCAAGACCAAGCCACCAGCATATGCTGCTTTTTTTCGAACTTTCTTCATTTTCCCTGTGCTTCCACCTCCTCCATCAACATATCCTTCTTCATCATCAACCTGGAAGGGCCATAAGTCACCATGAAAAACTGGTGATGTTTTCACATAACAGCTGTACAGCTGAAAGCTCACAGAAAAAGCACGCAGGGTTTCTGTTTAGTACGGTAAATATACTGATGCTAATCATTTTATGAAACACCTTTATCATCTAACAAAGATGAGAAAGAATCCTAGAAAGGTTTCAAAAAGAAAACAATTTGACAAACTTGGAATAGCTGGAGAAGCACAGATTGTTGTGTGGTACATTCTACATTCAGGAAACATCACCTTACAGTCCTAAATTCAGAAGAAATTACGCAAAATAACTTCATAATTTAGTCACAAAATGTTCACAAATGCACACAATTGCTAAAAAATGAATGATAGATATTCTTAAAAACATTCATTCCCACAAAATATCTACTTTAACTTAGTCAGCAGCTGTGCCTCAGACCTCAGACAGTAAAACGCAGTTTTAACTCCCGTCCAGAACACCGAGTCCAGGCTGACACACCCAGGCAGTGCTGCATGTTTGGACGTTGTCTCCTTTCTGAAACTCAACCACTTCTCAGTTTACCACACCCCTCCCCCAACAGTAAATGTAAAAGATTCCCTGTCAGTATCTGAACAACAGCAAGGGAGCATCCTCAATGCCCTTGCAAATATTTACCCCGAATCACCATCAGGAAAACTGATTGTCTTTTTTTAAAAAGTGTAGTTGTTGCTGTAATGTAAGAAACATAGCAGCCAATTGTGCACAGCAAGCTCCATCAATGGTACTTGAGTAGGTGTACAGTACTTTGCAATACCCTGAAATCATAGAAGGTTATTCTTAAACAAACTGTTGCTGTATTTTCAAATACATTTTACAAAAATCTCTTTAAAATGTCTGTTTCCGTAGGTCACACCAAAACAAAATAACCAAAAGCTGAAACAAAACTCTAAGTCTAATATCTGCAAATTATGGATAAGGGAGATCACTAGTAATGAGAAACCTAACAAGAATGAGAAGTATAATGAGGCAAGGAAATCTGGCTTAGGATTATTTAAAGGACATTTACTCAAGTCCTATCAAAAGGTTTCCAATCATTGAGAGCTCATTAGATTGCTAATTTTACAATGTCACAGCTATTTATACAGCCCTCTTAACCATCTCATTACATTCAGAATTGTACTGTGGCATGATGACACACAATTGAGTGATCTGTCAATTGAAAAAGATTCCTTCTGCCAGATTTCAATATTTAAATGATGTGCCACTGGAAGTACAGTGCATTACAGGGTCTTTAAAACCCCAATTGCACTCAGAATTCTAATGCATACAGCCATCTCAAAATATTAATACAATTTCTAGTTTTTTATTGCACAAATTACTTAATGCTACCACTGTAACACTGTGGTAGCAAGAATACACACATCCAATTATGTCCCCATGCTAAGAGAATTAAATAGGAAGCAAGCTCTCTTACTTATATTTAAGGCAAAATAATCAAGATAAAAAAGATACAGTGTAGGAAATAAGGCATAGCATTAAAGTGCTGTAGTACTCACAAACTCCTGCACATGCTTCTTGAAAGACGGCTTATCAGGTACAATGTAGTTTTTTTCATGGAAAGCATGTAGCAACAGATATTCATTTCTCTCAGAACGGCCACCCATCAGCGTTCGTGACTAGAAGAGTTAAGTAAACTTTTAAGGCATTCAATCTGTCAAGTTTTGCGCACAATGTCCAATTCCCACCAATGTTACATTTGCTTTGTTTAATCCTTTGTTGGCAACATTCCAAGAGCTGGGAATCAGCAAATCCTCTGATTATCGATGTTATGGATTTGTCAGTAATATCTTTAAAAGTTTAATTGAAACCACATATTTCATATGTCATACATACATCCTGTCAAGTTGGTAACAGTGCTTTTATAAACTAGCATCCAATTAAGCTCATGAAGATTTCTAGACATAAACAAAATATGGGGATAGTGTGGGGAAAATGATGTTGAGATGAATGATCAGCCATGATCTAGTTAATTAGCAGAACAGACACAAGAGACCAAATGGCCAACTCCTATTTCGTCTGGTATGGGTGACCGCTCATACACAACATGCGAGTAGATCCCCTATGTTGCTCACTGTAGGTTCTCTCGCGTCACAATCGTTTTCTCTTTTCAATACCCTGATCAGCATCTCGTTTACCCATCGCAATCTTTCTTTCTCTTACCCAATACATTATGCTTCTGCAGTGTCTATATCAATGGACAATCAATTAACCAATGTGTATTGGTTAATCTATCTAACTTTATTTCCCATGATTGGATGATGCCCTTGCCCACACTTATCTTCTACAAGCACCCTCCTTGTCTACAAACCATTATCTCCACCTCATCTCTCTACCCACCCTCCAATCTGAATTTCTCACACTTGGTGTGTGCTTGTAGATATGGTGACAAGGATTTGTCACTCTAACTCTGAGTGAGGCACAGCTGCAATTCACAGTAGTGGCTGCAAAAGGGGACAACTGTTAACTACATTGCAACTCAAGACTAAGGATAGCATTGAGATCTAAGACATAATAAAAGAAACCAAAGCAGAGGAGCAGAAAGGAAATCAATTCAGAGTAGTCAATGAATATAACAGAACATTAATGGAATTAAAAGTTTAATGGGCAAACAATATGAGCAGAGAAATACAATCCGAACAGCGTAGGCTTTGGAGAGTGAACTGTGGTAAAAGTAGTCACGGCCAGTTAACAGCCAAGCGAACCAGCAGTTAGGTAACCACATGATGTCAACAATACACCTTCAATTATGAACTCACTGCTTTAACTTGTAATAGTTAAAAGCTAACGTTTAGAGATTTTAAAACAACTCCAATAATCATACTTTGGAGTGAAGACAGAAATGATTCGAATATAAAAACAAATCAGTAAAAATTCCAACATTACCATGACATTTCCAGCAATGCTGGTTATTTGCAGCGCTAAAGGAAGGACATTCAGTTCGCACATGATCTGGAGAATAAATTTTGCATCCATCCATGTATTTTCAAGTAGGTGCATGAGATGAGTAGAATCACTAGTGGAACAATTGAAAAGAATTAATAATATTGCAGTGCACAGTAGCAAATAAAAACAACACTAACTATGGAATCTGTTTGCAATAACTAACTAATGTACTAAAAATACATTTCACTAACCTGTTCTGTTAGTCTGCAGTATTCAAGGTCTAACAAAAACATTTTCGTTTAACAAAAATGTACTTGCAAATATGTGCAAATGGTAACAGGTATGATAAAATGCATCAAGCTACAGATTACTATAAACAAAATCTTCTGATAAAACATTCTATTCCTTTATGTTGTCAGGAAAGAATAAAGATCCAGTAATCACATTGTTCAGGTTTGTTGCTTTGGGGCCATTCTTTCCATTAACATTGGCCCGGTCAGATGTGTTTTCTACTAAACCATAATCTTACTGTCAGTAATCCAACTTCTTGAAGATACGTTACTGGGTAAGTCACTTTTAATCATCTACATGACATAGTAACATGACAAAGTAATTTCCTCGGGCGAGCCGCTGCGCCTCTCGTCATGACGTCGACGGTTTGGCGGCAGAGATCCTGCCTCTGTCAGCTGCGGTGCGTGCCGGCAATGTCCTAAGTCAGGTACAATATGGCTAAACAGAGTGAAGTTCTTTCCTTGTTACAGCGATACCTTAAAATGCAAGGAATACGGCAGGTGGCCGCAATTTGGTCTTTGCTACTGTTCAATAAGATCACGGCTGATCAAATTGTCGCATTTACACCATTTTCCTGGCCTGCACCACCCACAAAAACTGTATGATGCTTTTCCATTTAGCACCAACAGGCCTCCCTGAGTGAGACTGACAATTTAGTGCCGTAACTAAATTCACTGGAATTGCCTTGAAGTCCATATAGAAATTGAAAATAGGAAAAGCCCCAGTAAATGCATGGATCTTTCATCTCAGCAATCTGAAAAGATTTGAAATCTGGTGATAACTGAAATACAGAACTGAATCCATCACCAAGACAGTTAATTGTATATTAATTGTGTTTTATTATATGCAGGTCGTGGGCAGTAAGTGGAATTTCACTTGAACACGTGAAAAAGAGGCACTTATTGAAATATTAGAGAGGTTGAGTGAGGAGGCAGACACTTGTAATATTTCACTCTGTGACTAAATGTCAGACCAAGTTAGGAATGGCTCTGATATCATTATTCACCAACTGGCAGCACAGTGGCTCAGTGGTTAGCACTGCTGCCTCGCAGCGCCAAGGACACAGGCTCGATTCCACCTTTGGGCTACTGTCTGTGTGGAATGAGTTTGCACTTTCTCCCTGTGTCTGTGTGGGGTTCTGCCAGGTGCTCCAGTTTTCTCCCACAGTCCAAAGATGTACAAGTTGGATGGATTGGCCATGCTAAAATACCCAGTGTTCAGGGATGTGTAGGTTCATGGGAAATGCAGGATTACATGGATACGGTGTCTGGATGGCTCTTCAGAGGGTCAGTTTGGACTTTTTGGGCTAAATGGCCTGCTTCCACACTATAGGAATTCTATGGATTCTATTCTATGTGCAGGTTAGGTGGACTGGCCATGCTAAATTGCCCATAGTGTCCAGGGATGTGTAGATGAGGTGGATTAGTCATGGAAAATGCAGAGTTACTGAGATAGGTGGGAGGCTCTTTAGAGAGTCAGTGTGGACTCGATGGGCCAAATTGCCTGCTTCCACACTGTAGGGATTCTATGAATTTCTACGAATAACTAACTGGCTTTCAGGAATAGAACAAAGTTTCCTCCTTCTTCTGTTTTCTTAATTATTCTGGGTCATTTTAAATAATCTCTTTAAAATTTCATTTTAAAAAATGCTGTAAGAACTCTCAATATTACTCACTTGTAGAGATTACGGATGTTTTCAGCTGGAATAGTCACTCTCTCTGTTTTGAGGACCTGATGAACAAGCTCCGTTAAATTGTAGCTCTTGCATCGAATCAACTCCTTGGCAGAAATTTCAACGTCACAGATCAGTCTACCACAAGCTGCATTCTTTTCTACAAATCCACCACGACCCTTCAATAAGAAAGTGACAGCAGGCTGAATTATCAAGAGGAACATTAGCTCCATAAATGAAATAAGGATTTAAAGAAACAGTTGAAATGTAAACCTTGAGGAGCTTGTAAGCACTAAGCCAATTAAAGGGAAAACCTGAATATAGCAAGAGTATTTTAAATTCAATATACTCCTATTCCAGATGCAATGTTTTTCTTTTTTAAAACAAAAATGATGCCCATGGTTTTGTCTTGAACAACACACAGACGTACTCCCATAGCATCAAACTTTGCCCAGTTGTACACATAGTTAACAGATCTTCCCCAGAGCTGCTTGCTAATTTCTGATGGATAACCTTTGGAAAATTAGCATTACATACTACTCTCATAGAATAGATGACCATCCCACTGTGGGCTGATGCGCAAGAAAAGAGGGGAATGAAAATGAATAGAACACATCACCACCCTACAAGCTGGTATTGAGCATCTGCATCCAAGCAGCGCACCAACTCAGAATCGCCTTGACCTTTATCACTTCCCCCACTGCATTTCTAGCTAAGGAGTCAGGGATGGAGAGTGAGGTTGACTTAAAAACCAAGTACTTGCAATCTCATACACAAGATCCAATCTTTTGATATCCCAAATTCAGACACAGCACCCTGGCCACTATGGTATATAGCTAACACATGCATTAGGAAACTTGCAGGCTGGGCAGTTACGTGGCAAATCATGCCATAGATAATGGTGAAGAGACACCCTTTGGCGAAAATAAAAACAAAACAAATATCACCAAGAAAATGAGAAACTAAATGAAGTAAAAGGGCAAAATAGGTAGGTGTTTCTTCAATAAGAAAGTGGTCAGAATGTGGAACACACTACAAGAGCAAGTGTTTGAGAAAAATCGCTCACACCTCTCCGATGGAATCTAGGTGAATGCAAGAGAAAAAAAAAGTCAAGAAACAGAAAAGTAGAAAGGAGGTAGATGGAGAAGACATGTGCACAGACTAAATACCATCACAGACCAGTTGGGCTGTAAGCCTGTTTCTGTATTGCATATTCTAGTTAACAGACGATCAGTTTCCCCACAGATAGAGGAAACCCATATCATCTAGCCTCTGCTTAGGAGATGAAAATTAAAGTGGTCTGGGTATTTTTGCTCTCTCTCTCTCTGGATGGACCAACTACTAGATATCAAAATATTCCTTCCTACAGTTCCCTTCATTGTAGCAGCAACTGAATAAGCAGAAGTATAGACGGACTACTTAGCTTTAACAGTAACTCCACTCACTCAGACCAGAATCTAATCGCCCAGTTGATAAACAGGTTAAAAAAAACCTTTTGTAAAAGTCTGATTTATAAGTGATAATATACTAGTGCTTTGACACCTTCTTTATTAAGCAGCAAATCGTCTTAAGTAATTGCAATTAACAAACAATACTTGTCTGGCTTTCTAAAGCTTACTGCTGTAACATCACACTAAATCTAACTGAACAATTTTTGCAACACTAAGTGCACTTACTCTTGCACCTTAACATTAAGGGTGTCATTGTACAGACTACTAATTTTGTTTTTTTTTAAATGTAGGTTGATGACAAGTGTTTTCCCCTTCACTCTGCATCTGGGATAATGCTTAGCATTCCTAGGTCACATATTGTGTAGGTTTCCCTTAGACAGATAATGGCATTCCATTATTTAGTCTGTTAGCATATATCAAATGCATAATGACACTAGGTTAAAAGCATTTTTACCAATATATGTGGCAATCTATTTCCATTTCTTCTGCTACATTGCTGTTTCAACATAACTGCAACTTTACTTCTTTTTATTAGCGTTGCCTGGCAATTTGCTGGTTTCTCATTCTGAAGAACTCAACTACGCCTTACCCCAAGTTTAGGCATTGCAGATCTCCTTAATCGACCAATCTTTGACCAGTGAGGAACTTTGCAGGCATTAATTCTTTGTAACAGGACATCAAGATCAAACCCATAAATATCATGGCCCTGAAAGTGAATGCACATCGGCTTTAAATGAGTCACACAATGACAGGCTGAGGAAGCAAGTTACCAGGTGCAGTATAATCATGAGATGCTTCAGAACACCAGTCACAACCTTGATACATACTCTTACACAGTGCTGCTCTTTTATCAAACTGGGGTTTATTTTTAAAAATACCTAATTTAAGTTATCTTAATCCTCAAGAACGCTAAAATAAAATCAGGTTCTCTAGATTTGAGAAGCATGTACTTAAGGTAACATGATTGATAATTATAAAAATAAGTGGCTGTACTGTGTTCATTAGATTGTTGGCTTCGACTGAATTTTTTTCTTATTTATTCACACTTGCAGCCCTATCATTTATTGCCCATCCTTAAATGCATGACTGAGTTGCTTGCAAGGGCAGAACGCATTTAAGTATCAACCATACTGCCTGGGTCTGTAGTCACATTAAAGGCCAGACTGGATATGAAGGCAGATGCTTCTTCCCAAATGGATATTCATGAATCAGAGAGTTTTTATAGTAATCTGGTAGTTTCACGGTCACCATTATTAATACTAGCTTTGTGTTTCAGGTGTATTTACTTTACCCAAGCTGTCATGATGGGATATGACCCCATTTCTCCAGATCATTATTCTGGGCCTCTGAATAATTTGCCTAGTGCAGTAATTACTACTCTAGGGTTTCAAAACAAAAGACCAGAAATCATAATCTCAGATTACGAAAAGGACAGATTTAGGTTATCCGTTAGGAAGCAGCTCAATTCCACTATTGGATCTATGGAAGAGGCTTTGGGTGACAGCTGAACATCTTATGCAAAAAGATCAATACTCTTGAACAATACTCGGGACCAAACTAATTTGTTAGAATTCCTTTAAACACCTCGTGAGTTTAGTTAGGAATTTTCAAATTGTTTTCCCTAACTGGGAGGGGTTTCTGTCTTTCCCAGAGACTACATGGCGCCAAATGGATGAGGAATGGACATATTAGACTTATGATAATGGACAACACATTTGTGCAGGGCAACTTCAGTGGACCAGCGAGCATTGTCTGTCAACTGTCATACATTCATATGAAGATGACTTATCCAAAGTAGATAAAGCAAAGAAAAATTAGCCACATGCTCTGTTCCCGATTCTTTTATGTCCTGCAGAAAAAAAGACTGCTTATGAGGCAATGTGGTGATGACGGGATTCAATTCACACTCAAATCTTCAATCGTCACTGTGCAACCTCACTCAGAGTGGTCATTTTGCAGAGCTACAGGGATGGAAGATGTTGTCTCTGGGGACTAATTCAAAACAGGCCAGTAACTTTTGCAGGCAGGGGTGGAGGAAACCAGTAGGAAGAGGAAGTGTGAAAGTCCAAAATTGCAATGAAATTAATTTCACCCATCTGATTTTGGCTCTCGTCTATATTCTCCATCAGGTCAAGTCTATAACTAACATTTGAAAGGAAAACATTGTTTTCGGCCTTCGACATACTTTATACTGTACATTTTTTTCTCAACTGTCCAGGCACCAGTAAACAGGATTTCCCAGCAAATAAACTTACCTAACATTCATGACATACTATCACTGTATTAACTGTATATGGCCTTTCAGTATATTTTTCACATTTCTAAGCACCAGAGTGTCTTGTTTTGTTACAAGTTAAAACTGGCAGATGGGTCACCTTGTACTTGAATTCCTGTAATAATTCTGATGAATTATAAGCTAAATAAAAAGTAAGTAAAAAGCACTACTGGCTGGATGAGCAATTTTACAAGTAATCCAAATATAGTTTGATGTTAACATGAACTTAAAAAGTCAAATAACAAGGAAGTGCAACTGGATTAGTTTGGTCTGTGAAGTTAGAAATGTAAGAATTCTGAAAAGGTAGATGTTTCGGAAAATTTAGGACGGTTTGTACCATATCACTTGCAAATGGTGATGATAAAAGCCTTGACTTCTTTTGTAATTAAATGCTGACTGTGGTCACTGCACTTACATTATAATTTAATTTAGTAGCTACGAACTTTCATATTCATGACTTCTTGGAACAATCATCACCAATACAACAATACGTTTCTACTCACCACAAGAACATCAGGGTCAATTTTGTGAATCTTTGCCAGGAAATAGCCTAAGAGAGTCCTTTCAGTAGCAGCAACCTCAACTTTGGCATCCTTAAATCAGAAGGATAGATCAGGTTGAGTTTTAACTAATTAGCCAATTATGTTTAGAATTGAACAGCCTCATTAATTCACCTTCAGCATGGACTTTGAGTACTGGTTCATTCAACCCAACATCAAGAAGGATCACTACAACAGCTGAGTAGTCACAACACACAAGTTGTACAAGGTTGTACTATCATGTCCTACAATTCTCTTTCATCAAGCATCTTTAGCTTTCCCAAACCATTTTAGTTCCATTATTACTTAATGTCTTTAACTTTTAACCTTAAAGAATCACTGACAAATGTAATCATCCATGTGCTGTCAGCTCATAAGGGACAAAGAATATATTAATGCAGCACAGCTCCTTCTTTATTTGATGACTATTGCAATACGTTGGTCTGTACTGTTACTGGTGCCTATCTTAAGGGTGTAGGCACTGAATTGGTTGGTAAAAGTCATACTTAAACTTAATTTTAGCCAATGAAAATCCAGGCCTTTGGAAGGTGCTCCCACAGGCAAGAAGAAAATCAGCGGAATTAAAACCTTGAGAGTTATTTTTAAATTAAAGTGAAAGAGATTAAAAATACACATTTGCTCTTTATACCATCATGCAATGTAAAAATAATTGTAAATTTAATCAAGAGTATAAGAAATAGGGACAAAGTCAGAAATCACATGACACCAGGCTACAGTCCAACAGGTTTATTTGAAAACACAAGCTTTCAGAGCCTCAGTCCTTCTTCATGTTAATGTTAGTGAGAAAGATAGTATCAGACACAGAACTTATAAGTAAAAGATCAAAGGTTCACACCATTGATGAGGATGTACTAAACATACCTAAGATGCTGTTAAATATTTAATTGGTTAAAAGATTTTAATTGATTAATAGTATATGTAAATCCCCGAATTCCTTTTAAGTCACGGTCCTGTGAGAACTAAAGGTTTTATCAGTGGAAAGAAGGGGTGACGTTTTAGGTCAGACAATGCATGATAGGTGTGAGACGTTGTTTAGAATCTGTTTGTGTCTTAATTTGGAGTCAGACTGGTTTTATTTCTAAATTAGGAATTTATAAAATGCCATATTGACTGACTGTCTATAAATTGTGTGCTTTTTGAACAAAACAAAATGTATCTGCAAGTACAAATTCACCCCATAGATTCAGGAGTGTCTGAGTGAGAGAGAGAGAGTCTGTGTGTGTGTCTGTGTGTGTCAGTATAAAGAACAGGTGATGCTGTAGTGTTCTCAGGACCATGACTTAAAAGGAATTCAGGGATTTACATATACATATTAATCAATTAAAACCTTCTAACTGATTAAAGATTTAACAACATCTTAGGTTTATTCAGTACATCCTCATCAGTGGTGTGAACCTTTGATCTTTGACTTATAAATTCTGTGTCTGTTACTACCTCTCTCACTAACACCTGAAGAAGGACTGAGGCTCCAAAAGCTTGTGTTTTCAAATAAACCTGTTGGACTATAACCTGGTGTCATGTGATTACTGACCTTGTCCACGCCAGGCCAACACCAGCACCTCCACATTAAGAAATGGGGAGTAAGCCATTTCATCTTTCCAGCCTGCTACACCATTCAATAAGACCACAACTAACCTTATGCTTCAGTTATCCCTTCCTGCATTATTCCTGGAATTCCCTCCCCAATGGCATTGTGGGTTAACCCACAGCAGGTGGACTGCAGTGGTTCAAGAAGGCAGCTCACTACTACCTTCTCAAGGACAACTAGGGATGGGCAATAAATGCTGGCCAGCCAATGACACCTACATCCCACAAATGAATAAACAAAATCCTCAGCTTTCTTAACACCCAAAAATCAGTCTCTGACATGAATATACTCAACAACAGAGCATCTAAAGCACTTTGAGGTCAAGAATTACAAAGGTTCACACCCTGTGAGTGAAATTACTCATCACACTCCTAAACTGCCAAACCTTAATTTTACTTTGAAACAGTAGCACCTGCTTCTGGAATTCCAAACCCAGATGAATATCCTAACACCACTTAATCTGTCAAATCACTTAAGAACCTTACATGTTTCAATGCAATTCCCTCTCATTTTTTTAAACTCCAGGGAAATTCAGACCCAGTGTATTCAATTACTTCTCACATGACAATCCCTCAATCTCCTGACCCTTTCAAGGCAGGTATACCCTTAAGGAGTCCAAAACAGTATACACTCTTCAATTCGTCTCAACAAGGAGCAATACAATTGCACGGAGACTGCGTTACTATTGTACTCCAAATCTTTCATAATAAGATCATATGACTGTAAGATATAGAAAGAGAATTAGGCCATTCAGCCCATCGAATCTGCTCTGCCATTCGATCATGGCTGATAAGAGCTAACAGACCATTTGCTTGCTGCGTCTGCATGTTACCACTGAAATGTGTATAAGGACAAAACGATACCTCCAACTAGCAACTTTTCCCACTCCCTAAATATATAAGAATTATTCTGCTTTTTTTTTTTAAAAAGACACATGGTCATTTCACTCTTCCCGTGTTTAATTCTTTAAATTACCAAATGGAGTTTGGCTGCTGGAGGGTAATACCCTGGCTAAAAAGGAGTGTATTTTAGGATTGCAGTCATTGATTCTGTGATCAACATTTCCAATCAACCTTACGTGAGAGAAAATTCTGGCCGAATCAGACATTGCTGATAATCCACATCTAAAAAAGTCACCCCTTCAGTGAAAAATGATCCTTCCGAATGAAAATGTTCATTTCTTAATCCATGAAGTATTTTACAAATATATCCACTCTTCACCCAGCAAGGTGAAGTAAGACCCCCAGTATGTTTAATTCATTCATCAAAGTTGGTAATTGGCACAGTCTATATTGCTCAAATTCATGAAAGGCGGCACAGGGAAGTAAAATAAAACATTTCTCTTTTATAAATTGATTAATAAATTATAACTTAATTTATAAATTAACAAAAAATGTATTATCAAATAGATAAATTTATTAATAAGAAATGAGCAAGAACAGCATGAACTGTGCTTCAATATATTAAGAAGGGAAATAACCAGAAATGAAAAAGCATAATTTCAGTACAAGTACATGGATTGATTCCTTTATCTCCATATTAATAATTTCACATATAAGTAACAGTAGGCACATGTACTGACACACAGACAGAAATGACTTACTTTTCTCATCAGAGTCTCCCGAAAATCATAAGGGAAGATACAATCGCTGGGCTTGCTGATGACTAGAAAAAAAGACGTTATTAGTATTTCAAAGATGCTGTGAACACTGAAATTTCTTCCAGAGGACATAATAAACAGATAAATAGGTAAACTGAGTAACTTGATCTGCCTCTTCCCAAAACTCTTATATTTGGATAGTCTTTATAAAAGTGGGGGTCACAAAGTGGGAATTCACCTGACTCTGTGCAATCGGCTCACAGACCAAAACCCATGTTCATCCCCATTTTTACCTGGTTTGTCACATAGAGGACAAGGTACTACTTCACCCTGAAGTCACACACTGACAACTGGGGACATCACATGAATTGGTTTCCCTGTCCTAGTCAATAACCATTGTTTGTTGTTCAGCAGAAATACAAATGGATGTCAGAAGACGACAACACTGGGTTTTAACAGTGACGTTCTACACAGTTAAACAGCATGCCACGACTAAACTCTTCATCTTGCTCAAGCAAATAATGGACAGTCCGTAAGAACTATCGAAGTGAGTCAGCATTTTAAGAATTATGACAAAAAAAGATAAAAATTGGGCTCAGGAATTTGGGTAGACTCAATTCTATGGTCATATAAAGTTAGCACTGGGGACAAAAGGTTTCTGCTTTTGCTCCTAGGCCTAACATCAAGCACAGGTTATATGCACAGAAAAATCCCCATGCTGCCTCACAATCTGCCTCTACATCAGTAAATCGTTTCATGTATTCTACATCAGCTCATTGAAGCCTTTCTGAACAAACTGCAAGTAGTGCTAAATAACAAGCGATGTTATGCTGGTGAGCATCAACAACCAGGAAGTGGATCAAGAGAAACAACCTATTTCATTGAGGACTTTAGCACGAGAACACAAGGGGGTCTTCATGCCAGTGCTTGAGGCTCAGCTTAAAGCCAGGCTATTTACAAGGTCTATACTCAAACATAATGCAGCTCTCAATTCATTTCAGCAACCTAAAGTCACCAACCACTCAAGCAACCTGTGTCTACAGGGGCACGTGGGACTTGCATATTATATGTTCTTCTTCCTGAAGAAAAGAAATGAAATACTTACCACAGAAATGGGCCTGAAATGGAGGCTGGGGAGCAGCTCTGTCCAGAGGGAATTTGTGATGAACTAAAGCTGCCAAGGCCACAATCTGGAACAGAAGGAAATGGATAGATAAACAATAGATCAATAAAAACTAAAGACTAATTTTAAAATAATTACAGTCACAATACAAGAAACAAACATCTTCTTGCTTTGCTCTGTCCACATTTCATTTTTTTTTGTTAAGATGAGCTCAAATTACTGAAGCCAAGGTTTGATGCAGGATCTGCCTGAAAGAACAAAATTAACTGCATCTACATCTTAGCTCAGAAGCAAGGAAGGAGCTGGAGGGTGAGGCGAAGCCAGAACAATGGGTTTCCCACAGGTCTCGAGTTTGATAGCTGAAGCCAATTTACAATTTCTGCTTCCATTTCTCTGTTGCAAAGGAAATAAGGTTGGGGGGCTGACTGATGGATGGGTGAGTCTTTGTCATGAGCCACTGTCAGACAGCAAAGGAAGATTGGGGAGATTGGATGATTTGGGTGTTTATTTGACCACTAGAGGCCGGGTAAAGCAGAACTAGAAGCAGCAGGTAAGTGGAAAGGCATTTCGTATGGTTACAGTACAGGTGTTCTGTGTTTGTGTGCTAGCTCTTTGCAAAAGCAATTCATTCTGTCCACTTCTTGCACTTTCCTAAAAGTCCTGTAAATTTTTCTTCAGGCAGATAATGACCCAATTCTCTTTAGAAAGCCACAACTGAATTTTCCCCACGCAGTCCCAGGCAGTGCATTCCACATCTGATCCACTTGATGAATTTAAAAATGTTTTTCCTCATTATCTCTTTTGCTTAACCTGTGCTCTCTGGTTCTTGACCCTTCTACTGATGGGAACAGTTCCTCCTGTCCACCCAGACCCTTCATGATTTTGAACAGTTCTATCAAATCTCCTCTCAGTCCCAGCTTCACAATTTTTCTACGTCCTCATTAATCCTTTTTGTGCCCTCCCTAATGTACTCATATTCTTCCTAGACTGTGGTCAAGGACAAACCAGCATTTTATAGAGGTTCATCTCAACATTGGGGAACTCTTATGACACTGCAGTAGTGATCCTGCCTCTGGGCCAGAGGCTCTGGTTTCAAGCCCACGCCAGGACTATACAACCAAGGAAGGTGCATTCACTGCATGGCCAAACAGGTGGAGTATCAAAACATACACCTAAGGCAGGCAATAACAGCAGGAGAGATTCCTGCTTCAACCATGTGATGCAAAGAGACTGGTGCCTCTACCACCATTATCCATGGCTCCAGGCTACAACATGTATGGAGAACGGTATGGTGCCAGAGAAACCTGGACTCCTTGGTTTAGGTGGCTGGACAGCCTGGCTGAATCAGATTAGTTTCAATCCCTGTTTCTGCCGGGTGAACTCATGACCAGCCGCCTCGCCCCAGCCATGGTGAAAACTGATGCATTCTCGGTCAGATCTGCCTTTAGGCAGAGAATTAAGATCGTAACGTTTCTGCTTTTGATCTTTACACCACAATTTGTAATGTCCAGGATCCCATTTACTAACTGTGCTCTCAACTTGCACCTTCTCCAAATCCTTCAATGATTCATGTCCATCCAGCCCAGCCTCCTCCCCCGCTTTGTCAATTCTTTAAGAATTATACCCTTTATTTGATATTTCCTTTGCCCATTTTTCCTTATGAAACGAATCACTTGTCCACCAATCTGTCTGCTTCCTTTGGATGCTGGAAATCTGAAATAAAACAGAAACTCACTGGAAAAGCTCAGCGAGTCTGCCAGCATCAGTGGAGAAAGAACCAGAGCTAACGTTTTGAGTCCAGTGACTGTTCTTCAGGACTGGAAAATGGGGATGGAAAATGGTGGTAACCATGCTGTTGAAAAAAGGGGAAGAGCAATGAGCTGAACAGACTGTCCAAAACTCAACGCAAGTTTGAAGAACAACACGTTATCTTCCACGTAGTCATTTTAGGGCCTCTAAGACTCAATACTGAGTTGAACAATTTCAGAGCATAACTGCTGTCCTAAATTCAGACTACCCCAGCCCACAATCTCTCCTTTACCACTACTCACTTTCCCTTTTGCTTTGGGAACACACCATCTGTTGTTCCCCCCTCTCTCTCTCCTCCTCTCATTAACTGAATAAAAGACTCCATTTTCCAGTCATTTTCAGTTCCGAAGAAGAATCACTTGGGAGTCAAAGCGTTAACCCTACTTCTCTCTCCAACAATGCTGCCAGACAAGCTGTGTTTCTCCAACATTTTCTGTTGTCACTTTCTTTCAACGTTTAACACTATTCTCTTCATAACATTTCCAAATTTGATGACATCCACAAAGTTGGGAATTTGAAATTGTGCTCTGTACACCAGATTACTTATAGAATCTGGCAGCTGCTGTCCCCTTTTAGCTTGTGACGATAATATGGTTTTAAGATTTTGTCCCTTTTTGTAATGAAGAGAAGTTGAGACAAACGTGATGAGCAATCTGTTCCAAAGCAATAAAGTAAACAGCTTGTGAGGCCTTGGGTTTTTTTTTAAAACTTAGAACAAAGGAAGCAGCATGGGTGGTTCCCACAGAATCAGGGTTTTAGTTTAGCTTTCAGAAGTTGTTGAGGTTTTGAAGCTGCCACACATCTCTCCCTTCTACAGTAAAATACTTATCTCTCCCTTCTACAGTA